GGTGGGGGTAACGAAATAATTTGGATATATCAACAAAGCTGAAATCATGGTAAATTGGCCACGGTAACGATTACAAAAGCTGACATTTCGAGCGTTAGCCCTCCGCTCCGACAAAGGGCTAACGCTCAAAACATCAGCTTTTGTAATCATTACAGTGGCCAATTTACCATTTCAACTTTGTTGATATATCCAAATCAGTTCATTAAAGGACAACCCATAATTATATCTGGAATATTAAAAGGAAACCTTCTAGAGACTGTTGTAGACCCACTGTACCTTGTTTTGTTTTGGTGAGGCTTTTTTTCTGACCATCAATTTTCCCTTTCTTGTTGAAAATTATTTTCATTATGTTACAAACTCTAATATTGCTTTACTAAGCATATTTTATATTAAGTAAAAATGTACTACCCTTAAAAAGAACAAAAAGTGTTTCATTAGACCTGTACCCCTGTACAACACCCACTTCAGTCTGTCCCAAAGATGGAATTGTGGAGAGGTTCCACCATGGTAAAGGAAATGCCCACTAAAGACAGTTAGTCACCCAAAGCACAATGGGAACTAATTAAAATATAACTCTTCAAATCCTAAATAAAATCTACAATTAGTCAGCTGGATTAAAATCTGGATTTTTAATTTTGGGTTAAAAACAAAGGCAAATTCAATACATCCCCACCCATGAAATGTTTCCTGTCTGTTACTCTTTCAGTACAAGTGAATTCAAAACATCTGTGGGTGTCATTTGACCACACCTCAAACTAGAAACCTAGCCCTTATGTAGTATATGTCTAAAAATAATGTGATTCTTACCACGTAGAGGGCATGAAGAGCTCCAAGTAGTGAAACAGACCATGCATTTGGGAATGTGTCTTTAGAAATGGTCACCAGAAGTGGGCATCTGCTTCCACCCTTTAGAGCCCTTTGGAAAAAAATTTAAAAACATATAATTTATCCATAGTGTAACAATTTAAGCTGAGCTTGCTTAAATTTGTGCCAATCTCATATCAGCCAAGCACAACCAATGGGCCTGAGCCTTTTTCTACCACAGAAAATAAAATAGTTTGCATATTTCTGGCCCACATTTTCACTCAAAGTTAATTAAAATGTAACTACTCTTTAGAACATAGAAATATATCTTATTAACCAAGCGTGAGGGCTGTACTGAGAGAATATCCACCCGAGGTCTTGACAGTATGGACCGAGCGCAGCGAGGTCTGTACAAAAAAGACAGAGTGCCGATATTCTTCCAGTATGGTCCCGAGCAAGCTTGGTTAATAAGAGATTTATTATACGACTGAAGTTCAAAGAGACACAAGTGCGGTATCATTCGGGACCATTCAGGACAGTGCCCGTCTAATACTGAGAGAATATTGACTGGCAATAGAGCATTTTGATTGGTTGATTTTAGTTATTGGTGCTGTGACTGCCCGAGTCGTGTAATAAAATGTTGTACATACTACCTCACCTTTTAATTCCATTTACTGCAGCATCATAGTATCGTCTTACATCATCATAATCCCTATTAACAGGGCCTGTTGGGGCATAGACCTTGGAAGAGGTAATTATTCAAATAACTTAGTAATAAATAATTTATTGTGAGTTGTGTGAGAAACCATGGCCCTTTAGATGTTAAGCCACTTGGAGCAAGAGTGGACTTTTCATGGAGCCAAACATTCTGAAACTCTTGGGGAAGAAAGGTAAAAAAAGCCTCTGGACCTTGAGAAACCCCCCTTAACTGAAAATGACTATGGCTTGCCATGTGGGCCATTAAAATTACCAGAGTACAGCTCTACAAATAATTATATTGTTCATAAGCTCCAGGCACCTTATTGAAAATTTCAACAAACTTACTACTGGCAAGTCTTGAGCACAGGAAAACACCAATGTCTCAACTCCGACAGCTTTATCAACCTACAAAATTTTTTTTCAAACAGTAAGTGAGGTAATTTTGTAGTAAAATCAATCTTCAAAGAGAGTGTCAAAAGTAATCAGGGATTGCACTGATCTTAATTTTATTTTGTTCAAGCCAAATATTGTATTTGTCTATCAGGCCCTCCTGCTGAGTCAATAACTTCATAATAATTAACAAGGAATGTTACAAGCACTTTACAGATGGATTCATACCTTTGCTGCTTCCAAAATTGGTGTCTTCAGAAAATCCCAAGCTGGGATATCCCATTTAAGATCTTCACACACAAGGATATAGTAATCAAATGTACCTTGATTTGGACCATTGACAGGAATAATGGGACATGGGAGCCTATAGAGATACAGACACAACAAGGATGTTACTGATTTTAATATCAAATTTGCAGAGAACCTCATTTAACTGGTTTACTGGTAACTGTAATACAATATGATGTCTCTTGATTTATTAAAAAAGTTACATACTGCTTTATTTGCAGTTTAAAATTTCTAATTCTCTTAATTTTCTTTCTCTAACATTGTTTTTATACCCAGTGTCAAAGGAAACCAAAATCAAACTGGTTTGATAAGTTTTGAATGGATAAAGGATTTTAACCATATAAAACAAGCAAGCGATCAACTAGACAAAGTTCCACTTTTTTTCAGAAGTGCTAGATCATGAATACAAAAGGCACCAACGGTAAAAAACATCAAGTACAGGACTCATGGAAATATGCAACAACTTTTGCTGAACATGCAAAAACAGTCTCAGTTTATACCACAAGTTAAGTGAAATGTTTAGGTTTTTATATGGTAATTCATTTAGAGTAGCAGGGACCCAAGATATATCTTTTTCTGTAAAATTATACCTATATCAGTAATAGTTAAGTTTTCTTGATCATGTTTTACTTAGGTACTCTTAACTGATATATCTGTCAAGAGTTGGTCAATACTCCACCCATGTGTCAGTCGATACATATTAAGCAAAAGTCAGTTGACAGTTAGCTGATACTTAGCCAAGACTCTCTTGATAGTCAATACAATCTCTACCGATTTACTCCACAGATATCTGTCTTCCTCTTATTATCTTGTTACATGATATGCTTGTTTTGTCACAAGGGGAAATAATCATGGCACAAATTCAATGCAAATAGCTAATTCAGAGAGCATGTTATAGAAGACATTCCTTCTCAGATCATGCATTCATAATTATTTTGTGACGATGGATCCTGTGACTTCATGAACCAATAAATTTCATCTCAACCCATGATCTCTTGAGACAGCTGTTGTTATTGTGGAAGTTTACTGCATGGGTTGTCATTTGAACCACACCCAGAACCAAGCCATGACAGGATAATCTACTTTCCAATGATTTTTGTTACTTAAGTGATTACTATCACTAATGAACAAAATTATGGGACCTTTGTCAACAACCTAGTGGGCAAGGTTTCAGGTTGTTAAAACTGACAAATCTAATTAAATTCCATCTCTTTGGAACAACCTTTGCAAACAAGGTAAACTCACTTGCAATTGCAACTTGAAGCTCAAAGCAAATTGTAAAAATTGCACCTAGTTTGAAACACAAACTAATATCTAATATCATGCGGAGGGGAATAGTAATTAGATTCGTAAAGAAGCTTCCGTCATCATTGTCTGATGACATCCCACCCTTATCATAACATTCCATTCCAAAATAGGATGGATAATAAGTATTAAATAGCGGATATTCCTCCAGCTACACACGCCCTTTCCATCTCTCAAAGGCTGCAGTATTTACGCAATAAAAATTTCCCCTACTCTGTTAAAACCTAAAAACAAATATGCAATATCTATGAATATATTCAAAAAGGAAAACATAACGAAAAACAAATAAGATGGAAATTCGAATGTCAAATTAAAGGTGGGGCTTCACGTCTCGAGTCAGTTCAGATCAAGCTCATGTTAACTGCAGGCAAAGGCAAACTCAATACTATCGATTGCTTGATTCTTGCAAGGAAAATTTGACTAAAGACATACTTTTTTTCATCGCTTTGTCCTCAAACTATCTCAAAGTTGTTCAAAAGATTGCTTGAAAAGGACGTGAAACGTAACTAGTGGTTGATATTTGCCAACAGAGGGCACGCACGAGCGACAGATACGGTGGTAAAATACTCGAAAAGCGACCTTCGAGGTAAAATCCTCGCTTCAATAAAACATCTAGCTAAAAATGGACCAGTTTTTGGTAAGATACTTGCCTCATTTTCTTCTCATCGGACATCTTGCCTCCCGAACCAAATGCACTGCAGAAATTGCGCTAAACAACTCACGTGAGTAAGCGCACGCGATTACGAATGCACTTACTACTTCATGTAAAATGCATGACGCAAACTGTCTCAACGAAATAATTTGGATATATCAACAAAGTTGAAATGGTAAATTGGCCACCGTAAATTGGCCACCGTAAATTGGCCACCGTAACGAAAGGTAGGGTACGATTCATTTGAAGGAGGGGGGCACTGGAATCTATTAGAAACCGCAATCGATCAAACCGAGAACCGCATGCAAAACCGTCTAAACCGATAAATTTGCACAACTCAGTTGTCAAAATCCTAATCGATCTGTTACTGTGGTTACAAGTGGAGCAACATAGGTTTCACGGCTATAAGATATCAGCAGAGGCGTATAACTGCTGCTCAGATCGAAGAGAAGCCAGAATTATTCTGTGGAGTAAGCTGGACAAAAGTGATAAAACATGTGAATCATTCCGTGATTTTAGAAACCGAATGCGTAATAGAGATTTGACATCTATTGTTGATGATGGATGCAGAGGATGTTATCTGTGTAATAGTTGATGTCTCATCGGAAATAATAATAATAATAATAATAATATTTTATAATAATAATTTTAGTATTTTTGCATTGAGCATCTAGTATTTTAGCTAACTATTGTATTTAGTTCAATGGATTGGACTTAGTAATTATTTTATTCTATTAATTGTAGGTGTCCCCATATTAATAGAGGGCTTGCCCCTCGGCTAGCTTATTTTCCTGACACTTAAATAAAGTTTCTATCTATCTATCTATCTATCTATCTAAGCCTAATATGAAATACCGACAAAGCACATCGATATCGGATACCAAATCCAAGTACCCGTCAATTTTTTTGACGAAAACCGAAAACCAAATGCTGAAAACGGAAAATCCGCAAAACGCAATGAACAGCAAAACCGAAAAACCGACGTTTCTTGGCACAAAAACCGATCTAAAAAATAGCCAAAACCGCAAAACCGCAAACTCCAATGCCTCCCTTTTGAGGCAGATTGGATCGGCAAGAAATAATGCTCCGGATAATGTTTACGCATTTCCAGGTTCCCTTAAGCCTTAAGTGACCAGTAGCACTGCTGAATCATTCACTAAGATCACGGGAATAAGGGAATGATAGCCAACATAAGAAACTCCTTTAATTGAACTGTTTAACCAGGAGTGAATGGCTCCTGATTTAACCAATTCTCCCCGTCAGTACCAAAGGAAATATATAGACAAGAGTAGGGAGAATATGCATACTGATGTTAGTGCGTAAAAGGTTAATTATGTCACTTTGCTTTTGAATGACTTCTCGCATAATTGGTCTTAGTTTCAAGATATCACACAAAAATTGCAATTTACAATCGACAGTTGGTCTGTACCCTTATCGACAGCGATATTCCACATCACAGGGGTGATGTGATGACGAATATATCGCTGTCGATAAGAGTACAGGCCCTGCTAAGTCACTGTCGATTTGTTTTTCACCACAATATGGATGTCAAATAAAAGGATTCTTTCAGTACCTGACCATTGTGTAACACATTTACGTGAGCAGCGTTGTCTGTACTTTTATAGACAACGGAAAATTGGCCGTTTAGATTGAGACATCAATGCCAATTGTGGTAAAAAAAAAGATGGAAGCAAAGGAGCTTCTGTTTTTCTCAGATGAGAATTGTTGAAGGCGTCGTTTCTCGGATTGAAACAGGAGGGTTGTCCAGCGCAGCAGAAATTCAGACTAAATTAAAGTGCGAGACCTTCGCAAAACTCAACGTTTTACATCTTCTTTACATGAAAACGATAATGCGATCCACCTTCGAGGCTTTCAACTTTGTTAAAGTGTTCGTGGAGAAGTCCCTTCTTGGATTATTACTGAGATTAATCTTACCTAGCCTCGATGTGATCATATTGAACACGAAACAAAAGAAAAGTGGGTTTCTTTTAGCAAAAGATACGATGTTTCAAATTGCCTTGACCATCATTTTTGTGGACCATCTGTTTCAGTGTTAAAAATGGATTCGAATAATATTGATACAGGGGAAGCGTAAGTAGTTGTTTGAATAACTATAAAATATGTAATAAATCTACCGATAAACTTTTCTCCATGCTTAATTAAGGTTCATTGTGAAATTGAAATCGCGTTCTTCAGAAAAGTTAACCATAAATCGCCAAGAAATAACTCAATAGAGCGATTTCGTATAACCCGTTCGTTATATGCGAATGACCCTTCGTTAGAAGCAAATGAGAAGAACAGCCAAGAGTGACCTATCGACTTCTTCGTTAGACGTAAGGCCAGACTGAGCTCTAGAAAAGCCACCAAAATTGAGGCGGCAGGGGATTGAAATGGTTTGTTTGAGCATTAAACTTTATCGTGATATATTAAAGTGATTAAACTCGTACATTGCTGATTTGTTGTGATCGATGAGGATAAATCAGCGTTGATAATCTGTTCGAAACTGAACCGCCTCTCTTCTGCGACGTTGAGTTGGTACAAATGGGTCGCTTCAGGAGTGATGCACCACTGAATATGTCCACAGTTTCTGCCGGAGTTTTCGTGATCTCAAGTTGCATTTCCTGACAAGCCCTCCTCCAAGGGGTTCGAAAAACCTTTGGATTTTTCTCAAACTGTCACTTGACTAAGGGATTTCCTCATAATTCCCATCGCTTATTTCATCCTTTCAAAGAGCAACAGCTCGGTAACAATAATTTCCATCTCCACTGACAACGACGTCCTCTCTCCTTTGAAGTGGTATATTTTCAGACGCCGTAATTTGTATATTTTCGTTAACAGGTAAGAACACAGACTTTA